CATTGTTTCTCGATTTCATAAAAGCTGGGTTTGGAATATATGTTTAGCATTTAATGAGCTCTAGTTCTCTACACTATGCTGCTTTGTAAACTCTAATTCTAGTTGCCTTGTGACCTACTTACTTCTCTAGAGATATAATGAAATTTATAAAGGCGGATGACACTTCTTTTCTGAATGCCAAACTTACATATCTAACTCAACATCTCCACTTGGGTAACTAACTGGCTTGTCCAAAACTGAGCCCTTTATACCCACTGCAATCCCTAAAAGAAAACAAAAAACTGTCTCACCACTTTCCTATCTCAAGCCAAAAGCCTTAGAGTAATCTTCTCTCTCTCTCAAACCCAATATCCAATCTCAGAAAATTTTGTTGGTTCTACCTTTAAAATGTATCTGGAGTTCAGCCAATTTCCACTACCCTCATTGCTATCACTTGGTCCAAGCCACCATCCTCTCTTGCCTTGCTTAATACAATATAATCCTATATATCTCCCTGATTTCATTCCTGTAAAACACATTAGGTCACCTCAATGTTCTACTAAAAAATTCTCACTAGTTTCCCATCCTTTTTAGAATAAAGTCCTTACAATTACCTACAAAACGCTACAAGAACTGAGACTGATTACATGTTCAACTGTATCCCCTGCTACCCTTCCCTTCAATCACCTCTCTCACCCAACTGGATCACATAAGTAATGACTCATGTAGTGGGTTACCAGTTGCGCTACTAACCACAAGGCCAGTAGTCAAATCAATCAGCTTCTCTATGGAAGAAAGATAAGGATTTCTGCTCTGATAAAGATTTACAGCCTTGGAAACCCTACAGGGTCTATATGAGTTGGAACCAACTCTACAGCACACAACTACCAACAACAACAAGTAAGAATCAAGGTGGAAGGAACTAAGGATTAATGATGTACCCACCATATAGAGATGTGACTCAAGTCACCACCCTTAGTTTTTCTTGGAGGCGTGGTCTGAATCCAATATATTGAAATGCTTTGTTAGAGTTCATTCTTTTCCTCTGATTCAAGTACCTGGCTCATCACGTCTGATGTCCAATTCATGCGACTTTTGGTCTATCACCCGACCTCATTCACCAACTCATGCCATCTTGTGCATCAACACCTTATTGATTTGAATTCCTCAGCTCCTGAGACTATGATATGGGTGAGGAGACTCCTCCAGTCTAACCTCTGAACTGCAGATTTGGAACTTGCTAGCCTCCACAATTGTATGAGCCATTTCCTTTGACATTTGTGAGACGTTGCCATGTATTACAGAATCCTGGAATGTGCTAGAGAGGAGGAGTGATAATTAATAACAAGGATTATTGTTCTTGCTGTTGTTGTTAGGTGCCATTGAGTTGGTACCAACTCATCATAGCAACACTATGTACAACAGAATGAAACACAGCCTGGTCGTGCACCAACCTCACAGTTATCACTACACCTGAGCCCATCACTTCTGCCACTGTGCCAATCCATCTCGCTGGGGGTCTTCTTCTTTTTCCAACCCTCCACTTTCCCAAACATGATATCTTTCTTCAGTGACTGGTCCCTCCTGACAATATGTCTGAAGTATGAGACACAAAGTCTGGCCATCCTGGCTTTCAAGAAGCACTCTGGTTGTACTTCTTCCAATACAGATCTGTTTATTCTTTTGGAAGTCCATGGTACTTTTAATATTCTCCTCCAACACAATAACTCAAATGATACATCAATTCTTCTAATGTCTTCTTATTCACTGTTCAACTTTCACAAGCATATGAGGTTATTGAAAATACCAAGACTACTTAGTCTTCAAACTGACATCTTTGGTCTTCAACACTTTAAAGAGATCTTGTGCAGCAGATATGCTCAATGCAATAAATCACTTGATTACTTAACTGCTGCTTCTATGAGTGTTGATGATTGATACAAGCAAAATGGAACTTTTGACAACTTCAATCATTTGTCCATCTATATGGATGCTGTCTACTGGTCCACACTAACTCCAGGTCTCTGCACATTTTTGTTTTTCTATTTGGTTTTCTAATGCTAGGTCTTTGCACATTTCATTATATTATTCGACTTTGTCTCCTCGAGCTGACCTTTGAAACCTTCTGTTCAGCTCTTGTACCTCCTTACTTCTTCCATTTGCTTTAGCATCTCTGTGCTGGAAAGCAAGTTTCAGAATCTCTTATTTGGTCTTGTCCTTTTTTATTGTCTTAATGACCTTGTGTTTTCTTCCTGTCTGATGTTCTTCATGTCATCCCACAACTTTTCTGGTCTTGGGTCTTTTTTAGTGTCTAATGTATTGAATCTGTTCTTCAGACAATCTATAAATTCAGGTGGGATATACTCAAGGTCATATTTTGGCTCTTGTAGACTTGTTTTCATTTTCTTAGTTTCAGTTAGTATTTGCTTATGAGTAATTGATGGTCTATTCCACAGCCTGCTCCTGGCCTTGTTTTGATTGATGATAGGGAGCTTTTCAATGGTCTCTTTCCAAAGATGTGTAATCTATTTGATTTCTGTGTATTCCACCTGGTGAGGTCATCAAGTATTATGAAGTGGCATAACATGTCGAAAAACTCGAACATTTGGGATAGCTTTAAACCCCCATCTCAGAGGGACTAGACTTGTGCTGATCTTTCTAAAATAAATTATTTATATAATACCTCATATTCATCACAAGAGCATAATGAGCCAATGGACTCAGCTGTTGTACTCTGAAATTCATCCCTGTGTTTGGACCAAGCCTGTGTTTCCCAGAAGCTGCTCCCAACCAGTGACTGAGTAGGGTGGGAATGGTAAAGCAGGTTCATTCCTGGGAGACATGGGACTTCTCTGGTCACTAACTTTGACTACGGGACTTTCTGATGGCCTTGACAAGTCTTCCTTAGACACTACTTCAGACTCGGTTGTTAACCAATTTTCCCTATCTCTCTCCTTTACTCAAGTCATATGTATACACTGTCTGACAACCACTTCAGATTTTTCCAGTCCCTGTCTTTTCTGACTCCCTTATTTTCTCTCATATAATTATTTCCCCTAATAAAATCTTACACATTTAAACTGTGATGGCTTCTGCTCTAGAACACCCAGAATTGCACAGTCCTCTTCTAACCTACTGTATTTCACTTATATATGTTTAATTACCCACTGGACTATACATTACAGACAAGCAAGAACTTTGTTCATCCACATATCCACAAACACATACCACAGTACCTGACACATCACTGGTGATCAGTAAGTATGTGTCAGAGAAATAAATAAATAACAAATACTTTTTAAATACTATTATCAACTAAACAAATGAATAAACATAAGATGACACCAAATAAGTTGCTGTAACTTTGCTCCCTAAATCCTCTGAGTGTCTTATCTACTCCTCTCACTACATTATAAAACTTTTGAGTTTTCCTATAACAGAAATGAGATGTAAGATGCAAATTGTTTTTAGGAAAAGATCCAGACTAATAATTGGATGACGGCCCACCTGTTCTGGGCAGCAAATATGCAATTCTGACTGAGATATTTATCACTGCTGCTCTCTTGTCTTTAATTTCAGCCAGGGTTTGCAGATACACAAAATCAAGGCTTTGAGGGTTTGATTTTTTTTTTTTTTTTAAAGTTTAAATATTCACCCAATTATAATAAAATGGAGTCAATTCTTCAATTTTCTAACCTGCCTAAAAGTCTCATTTGAGGACATATGAGAAAAGACAAACTGCTTTCAAGTATGATTCCTGATTTGTAAACCCAGTGAGTTTCACCTTAGGGTGGCTGAGTGAGGGTGGGGCTGTTTGGTTGGGTAGCTCCAATTGACAATATATGAGTCTTTTCTGCTATGACCACTCATCTTATCCAGAGGAGATTTCAACAAGATTCTACCTAGGGTTTTATACCCAACTCAAAATGTTCTGAAAGCTGGGTGGAGGAGAAGGGGGCGGGCAACTGTTTCTCATAATGACTGGTGTAAGCTTCAGCTTGATCCTTGCCATGCCCTGAACACTTGGGTAGACCTTGATGAGTGGCCATTATAAAAATCTTGCCTTTGCTTTTTATTAGCAGTGTGGCAAGTTATCTCTCTGAGCCTTAGTTTCCTTATTTTTATTATTTTTAAAACAAGGATAATAGCACCTATCTCTCAGTACCTTTGAAGATAAGTAGGATATGAAGTATTAGCCTATAGAGAACATTTAAGAAATGTTAATTATTATTATTACTGATATCAAAAATGCAAAGGAACTTAAACCATATGTTCAGTGTTTCAGTTGTCCTTTTAACCTCTTCAGCTGAATGCTGGTATGGAGGTGCCTGATGATATCCAAACACATAATAATGAGGTACATAGTAATTAGGGTTTACTAGATGTAAATTTAATGAAAGAAATGATAGGGGAAAGAAAATAAAGTACATTGAAAAGTTTCTCAGCCTCTGCTCTAACCTAAGCATTTCATTGGGATTGCCTGCCTTTTTCTCTGGGAGAGAGAATGCCCACATTAAGTTTTGAGCTGTGTGCAGTTGCAAAATGTCTCATCCCACTTTCATGGGCTCACTCCTCTCTTGCATAACCAGTGAGGTCAAACTGGGCACCTTCCTGAAGACTAAGAGTGTCATTTCTGAACAAAGTCCAATGAAGAACTTCATTCCACAGAAATCCAAGAAACAGAGCAGGGTACTTGACGTTTGGTCCACACTGAGTACTGGTGATGAGCCAAATTCTTAATATAGTCGCATAAACATTTTTGAATTCTCCATGACTTAAAATTTGATTCTAAAATTTGAAACAAACCGTTAAAGGACAGGACAGGGGGCCACCTGAGGTAAATCTGTCTCTATAGTAAGTTCTGTTGAATTTTGTATTATGATCTTAAGTCAATCAGGCAAATAAGTGACAGGGTACTTCTGCCTTAGTGAAGATTAGGTTCTCTGTGTAAACTCTGAAGAGAGTGTGCAGGTAAATGAACTTTGTAGGATCACACATGGACCCACACATACAGGGAAAGCTGTTGTATCACTAGCGTAGAAGCTGATTAAACACTCAGCATGCTGGCTCCCAGTGCCACTCCTAGAAAATAATGAATTGGGTAAGGAATAGTTAATAAAAAAATGTGCCTTGCTAACTGTGCACATTACAACAAAGAGCTGGCAGCTCCTGAAGGAAAAGGGCTTGTGCTGCTGCCGTTCAAACTTGTCAGTCAACTCGTGCCAACAGCCTCAGCGTCTCCTCCCCAGCACACCCTCATTACATGTGTCTGTCTGACCTCATCTGTGCATCTGCTCACAGACGACGCTCCTGACAAGTCGGGAATTTCTCCTTTACTCCCCTAGTGGAAAGAAGAGCAGATTCCTCCCTGCTACTCCTCTATCGCGTCCACTCCGCTCCCCAAGGAGGCTGCTTGCTTTATGGTAGTTTTTGGACTTCCTTCCTGGCTGCCTGTCCTTGATTTCTAGAATGGAAGAAGCTGAGCTGGTGAAGGAAAGACTCCAGGCCATCACAGTAAGTCTGCATACAGTTATAACTCACTAAGGTGGTTGCTTAGAGGCACGGCACAGCAGACACATTGCTAGTTTGTCCCTGCTGATGAGCTCCAGTAAGTGGAAAAACAGAACTGCCAGCCCTCACCGAGGCTTCTCTGCTTCGCTCTTAACCCTTTGTGCCCTCTGGGCTTCCAAAGTTGAGAGCAAGGCAAGTACCCTTGGTTTTCGTTCTCAAAAGACTGTGCCTGCGTTTTAAACAGCCATCAATGGCTTCTAATGCAGGTTGGTTAACTATCATTCACCTTTTAAGTAAGGTGCAGCCTTCTTAAATTTATATTTGATGGGCATTAGCGCAAAGATTCCCAACTTGGAAACTTTTTAAAACAATCTGTATATCAATCTGTATATTAAAAAGTTAAGGTGTTTCTTTTTTGGGGGAAAAAAATGACTAGGAGAAAGAAAGAAAGTAAGAAAAAAAAAATTTTAATGACCTGATTTTTGTTATTACACCCTGTGGTATATATAGGTAGTTTCTGATCGTGTGTTCCAGAAAACCTAACAGAATTAAAATGAATGTGAGTGTGCTGCTTAAGCTAAGTGTTAAACAAGGGAGAAGTAGGCAAAAGCACGTATCAGATTAACTGTAAGACATCAGGTTCTATCACCATCAGAAACTCACATATTGAGTAAGATACTGTTAAAGGAATGCAGTACATGCAACGGATTTGGAAAATATTTTGTTAATGCCAGGAAGGAAAATAGTTGCATTTTTTATGTTTGTTCTGGGAAAGACTCAGAGCAAAAAATAAATTATTTTCCCCATGTGATCCAGCTGTTTTTTCTTTTTTTTAATACAAAATCCTGCATTTGATAGTAACCTGGAAGTCTATGGCACAAATATTTATCATTAGCAACAACTCATAATTTTTTAAAGGAAAAATTCTCTGGAGATCTCAGTTTTCTGCCACTGAAATTACATTTCAGCGAAAAAATGAATACTTCAAAAATAATTAATGCTGTATCAGAGTGGGTCATAGGTTTGAATGTTGTTATTCTTGCACTTCAGATCTCCATAATAAAAATAATATTTCAAATCCCAATTTAGGATTCTTATTAAATGAATATGCTGTTTTAGTGCATTCAATCATTCAATCATTTAAAATATTTTCTTGGCCAAAGATACAGAACCAGGAGTCCACTGATAAAATGAGCATCTTTCAATAAGATAATGCATTTTTGAATGTCTAACTTCTAATGAGTACATTTTCCTTTCTTCAGAAAGCCCTGGTTTGGGTTGTTGTTTGTTTTCCTTGTTTTATTGTTGTTATTGTTAAAGTCAGTCACAGTTTCAGTTGTCCTGCTTCAAGAGACAGGAACTCGGCATTGCTCTGTTGTTTTTGGCGTGGGCCTTTTACGTTACAGCTGTCATCTAAAGGTTACTTAATTAGTCTCTGTGAACTGTGTGGGTACAAGTTCTGCTTCTTCTAACACTTCTATCTCCTAATTGACAAAATTAAATTATATTTCCACAAGTAACCTCTTCTTTGTTCCATGTTTCCATTTTTTAATTGGGTCACACCCTTGCTTAAATTTTATTTCATCTAACACACCTTGTAATTCTTACTGAAGTAGCACATGTTTTAAAGATACAACCATGTGCATTTACTCAGAAAGAAGAGAAAGTTACAATGAGAGTCACAAAA